AGATTAGTCAGATGCAAAAAACAGCGCAGCAAACATGAAAGCCGAGCGAAGCCGGGTATGCCAACTAGTTTTGAATAAATTGCGTTTTCCACATATGTAACACGAGGAGTATGGTCCAACTATGGAGGGTCAACATGTATTTTATTTGATATGCAATACTCTTATCGAGAGCACTGCCAACTAGATGATATCTGTTCTAACGGGTAGATATCAAGCGGAAGCTAGCAACAGCTGAAATTGTCGAGAGAGATCTTGCTGAACCCATGTTGCCGTATAAGATTTGTATAAGTGCGAAGCCTCAAAATGACAGTGTTCAATTCGGGATGCAAAGTAACAGGATTGTAATAGCAAACTGATCATTAATTACGTTCACCTGTAAAAAGCAAAGCACAAGAAAAAGTAGGACATATTCCACAAATTACTTCTTAAACTTGATAAGTAAGAATACTTCATGCATATTGTTAAAGTTCCATATCAGCTACCATTACCAGCTAAACGTGTTAGAAATAATTTGTACTTTTCTTCACACAGGCAGAAAATGAGTTAACTTTGTTCGCTTGCATATCTAGTTCCATCTGAGAATCAGTTTCACAGGAAAAGTAATTTCTCAGCCATAGAAAGAGAAGATATATGAATGGTCTCAAGATGCCCAGATTTATTAGGTTATATTAAGAAATTAATGTCAAAGGAAGGCCAGGTCAAGCGCTCACCACAAATGTCTGCGCATATTTTTCGCAAAGATAAAATATAAATGTCTTTAAAATTGTTGGTCCTTGAAGACCTCATCGATGCAACATCTTCAACGGAGGATCTTGTGGGTTAAGGCTGCTGCGGGATGCGTCTTGTGCCAAAGCAAAATTTTCGAAGATAAGACTATAAGAAACCTGATAATAACGCTAGGAGTTATTTTGTTGTTTACCATATTTACCTTTCCATTATAAAGTTGTTTCAAACAGCAGATCTTCAAAGACCAAAATTTTCAATGGCGTTTATGTTCTGTTTTCGGAAAAATCTAATTTCTAACTATTGTTTCAAAGTGTATAGCACCTAGCATCGATGTTGTTGGAACGAATCCATTTTAGATACTTGATTTATATAGGTATGTTTATCAACAATGATTACCATCAATCTTACAATAAATACCTATCATGCATAAACGACACCTTTGTAAATGCTGTACTCTATGGAGCAGCGTAAATTTGGGAATAGGTAGAAGATGGTGATTTCCTGAACTTATAAATCGATTATCTCTTATGTGAAAGCGAAGTCTAAACTTTGTAGAGTGTGAGATCGTTTATTACTGTATACCAGTACCTCTAAGCGCCATAATTTTCACGTCTCTAGATCGTAGGTGGCATATGTAGTCAAGGATATATAAACGTTTTCTATCAGAAAAATTCCTTTTCCTCCATAAATGAAAGCACTCCTTGAGTTCTTAAAAAAGAGCACCTCTTACGACTAGGAAAGGAACATTAGCACCCAAAGAATAGTAACTGATAATAAGCAAGAAGCTAACTTGCATGTTCATAACAAAATTTCCCATTGTTGGTTCGAAAAAGAGGTTGCCTTCATTTTCTCTTTGAACTATTATTTCAAATATGCGCATTGGTCAATGGGTTACGGACATGGAGAAAAATATTTTTAGAGTCATGCGATTAATACAAAATCTTGAATTGTTCATAAAGTTTCCGTTGAATTGAAATATAAGTGATTAAAGCTGGCAAAGGTTTGCTCTCTGAAGAGCTGATAAGGACATCGTGGCTGTTGTTCGCAATGCTCTTGCTGCTGTTTGTCGCTCTTTTAGTTTCGGTAAAAGCTGGCTGTCCGGTAGGGACCATTTCGCACCCGGAATTTGGAAGGTGAGTACATTAGAACTTGAAGGGTACAACTCATTGTTCCCTATCTTTACATTACCTCTGGAGATTATAGCAATGACCATCCCGGCTAGACAGGGGAGTGGTTTTATCGATAAAATAAACTCCAATAAGGCTCTTCTCCATTCGTTCTCCCTCCTCCCTCAACTCTGTTATGCATAAAGGAATGTCGAGCCCCCTCTATGAAGAGGGATTTGTGAGGGGTTCGCCATCTTTTAGCAATTTTGGTTTTTTTCGGATTGCATCTATTTTTCCACTGATAAGAATTGTTAAGTCGTTCAGACTTGACTCCCTATCGTAATTTTCGGCTTCATTTTTATGAAGAGTGAGAATTTGGCTTTGAAAGCAACTATTCTTTTTGGAGGCTAAATTAAAAATCGATACATGAAAAAAGATTTATAGAATTTCTTTTTTCGCGTTGCACAAAACATTAACGATCCTTTAATTGAATAGATTAGGTAATCGCCTGTAAATCGATAAGGGTCAAGATCCTTCAATATGTCTAGTCGTCGACATATTGTCTTTTTCTTCTAAATTAGTTAATTTATAAGAATGACCAAATACTTCAGCAATCCTTGGCTAGTTCACGATCCTTCTCCAAGATCCGCAGCAAAAGTACAGAGTAAGAAAGACAACCATTCCTTGCTTCACCGCCGTTTCAGAAAGCTTTGCATACTGGTCTATAAGCTGCATTAGATGTAATCGCGCTGCTACGACTTACTTACAAAGCACAGATTGTTCTAAGTTATAATGATTAATATTAATTGAAAGCCACAAAGCTGTTATACAGTAAGGGAGAGATGTCTTTCTCTCAAAACAATTAAAAAACGGAAAATCTGAAAGCATAATGTATCCTCAGTTTATTGTTGCAACAAAACCGCGCATGCGTATCATGATGACAAGATGTTTAACAGATTAGTATTCATGAATAGAATTTCCTGCAGGTTTATCCCATGGAAGTGCACCTTAACCTTGCATAGATACACATTTTACATGTTACAATACTCTAAGATATATGAATGCTAACGGGTGGAAGGTGAAAGCCTTATCTGTAGCCTTTTGTTTATAATCTAACCTATCCCCTTCTCTTGAAAACATCTAGCGAAAAAAGTAAACTCTAAAAAAATACAGTCAATGGAAAGGTATAAAGGAATTGTTGGCAAAGGGTAAAAATAAAAATTATAATTTCAGATGCTACAAATTCAGTACAGACCGTCAGCCTTTCTATATGGCTGAGGAATCATGTCAAGCTCTTGGCGGACACTTGGTTTCCGTACAAAACGGCTTCGAAAATGCCATGTTGGCGGGTGAGAAACGATTTGGTATTATTGTTAGGAGGAAATTTCTTTTTGTAGAAACGGCTTCATCACAAAATCTGGGCAGCCCTTTTTACATTGGTTACAATCGCATGGTGAGTAGTGGATGGACTTGGATCGATGGCTATAATGCCTCCACATTCACAAACTGGGGACAAGGTATAACAGCAGTTACACAGATAATCTTTAATTCATATCCTTTAACAAAAATGAAACAACTAAAAGTTAGGATTCTCGCACCCATCAAAAGAAGTAATGGACAAACGATGCTCGCTTGAGAAATTGAGACATCGCCCATTTGTTCTATTTAAAGAAGTCGATGATGTCACACGTGTGCAAAATAAGTAGTATTGAAATGAGTTTGCAAGACAGTGGACTTCGACGAAGGGAATTATGTAACCGGATAAGTGTGGAATGCTAGTTTTGAATGTGCATTTACTGATTTTGTAAGCTGAGAAGTTTCTGGAGAGATGAATTTTTTGCTGTAAAAAATCGCATAAAAAATGCTCTGTGCAGCTCTGACCTGAATCATCAATACAAAATTCAAATTTTGCATAATTCCAACTTTTATTGTGGCCTTCACAATGTCAACAAACACTCCTCAGAACTACAATATCTCTGTAGCTTCTGCAGGAAAAAGTATCCGTCGCAAGCGTCGCATCGTCATAACTTCTTTGAAAATAGAAATTTTAGAAAAGGAAAGGCGGTGTTATACTCAGCTCGTCCAGAAAGTCTAAGCTATGCCACACCACAATAACATCGAAGGTGTACGGTAGATACGATAATCAACATCGCGAATCCGTCTGAAACTTCACGTAAGGCTGTTATATGGCTCTTTCACGCAAAGTTTTAAACGGATTTTTCTGTCGTATCTACTGTACACATTGGATGTTACTGTAGTGTGGCATACCTTCTGCTTTCCGATTTAAAAAATACTTATTTTGAAAGAAGTTTTGACGATGCGACGCTTACGACGGAGTTTATGTGAAATCACGTTTTTAAAGTTATGACCACTATTGTATTCATAAAATTAATTTCTCAATGACTACCTACTTAAATCCCCAAAAATGCGCAGAAATAAAATTAACGTCGAACCTTAGCAAGTGAAAGGGTAAGGATTGTCTCCCGTCAAATACTGGGTATGTGAATAGTGAGTACTCTTAATGTCGAAATATGGGATTGATTTTCATCAAGTAGATGTGCTGGGAATTTCTTCACGGAAATTTCTTTGAAGGTTAAGTAACCCAAATAAGTTGAAACGAATGATAAATATAAATCTAATGTGATCATTTATTCGTTTAGGTCAACCTGACGCAACTTCGCAATGCTCAGTTGAGGCCCTAAATGGAACATGGTACTCGGTGAACTGCGCTTCATCTCACCCTTACGTCTGTGTATTTACGTCCGACATCCCACCGACCACATGTCCCACATGTCCAGCCGCTCCTACGTGCCCATCAGCTCCGGGTTAGTAAAGATAATTATCCTGCTTACCTGCACTCTTTT